GATGGTGGTGCTTAGAAACGTGTGTTACCGCGATTTATTATTTGACTTGTACATAGTCTGTGTATGTTTTATGCAATAAGGCATGAAAATTCAAACTTTATGCTCTCGATTTGTGATTCAAATTTCACTTAATTTCCTAGGAGACAGAATGACTCAGAGATATTATAAAAAGTTACGAAGAAAGACATCGTCTAATTTCACTTTCGAAGTGACTGAAATTTAAATTTGAAGTTATCAAGGCTGTTATTTAAGCTTCACGCCTTACTGCATCGAATATTGAATTATTTATTTGAAATGATTTGTCAGAGGGGGTGCGGGGTGAGACAATACTATCATGTATGTGATCCTTGGGTTGCAGGTTCAAAGAGACAGAGCTTCCTGTCGAGAGAGCGTATGTACACGACCCTATTATTTATTATATCAATCTCTCGCATTACTTCACGTCTCAATAAATTCACAAATAACACACTCACAGACTAATGAACACCCCTCGCCACGACAATAATTAAATGCTGTAAAATCAATTCGATTCGACACCATCCTTTGTTCGTCTGTCTCTTTTTACACTGTAAATACATTTAACAATGGGGTTTTAAGGTGCATGAACTATTGTTTGCTGTGCAAATGATAAACAAATTCTGTTATTTATTAAACAGTATTTGTTGAGGTGTTCAGTTATTTTGAATTATGCTTACGAGTTGCTTGTGATTGGTTAGACAAAGAATTACTGCTTATTGATCGTTCAATACATGAATTTTTGTTTAATTATTTTATAGAATAGAGAATAAAATTTTTGAAGGAAATTTATGAATTTAGTATTAGCAGTTTTTATAGTAGGTATAACGTTGAAAGTTTGACAGAAAGGATTGTTTATTGGTTGATGAAATTTGTTGCAAAGTAGAAAATAAAATTTCCCTTCATTCTTAATTAACCTTTTTAAAAATTGACACATCGGAGGTAGAACAACAGCCTGATTTATTCTATAGATCGATGGAATGGATTGTTTGAAATAAAAAAGTAACGAATGGCTGTGAGTCAACAATGACTGTTGATGATTGCATTGAAGCAATTTTCAACAATGATACATGGCAGAATTGCTCTGATCAAACTGATGCTTGAATACACACATGGCCACCAGACACACGCACACGCACACGAAATACCGCTGCATTGTCTTTTCTTTTATTTGCAAACAATGGACATTGTACAGCTTCATCAGGTGATAACCAAATGAAAAGTTCTAAAAACTAAAATTATGTAAAAATTGTACAAATTAATTGTTGAACACTTGGACAGCCAGCTTTTATTAAGCATAGTTACACTACACCCTTAAACTAACACTTAATTAGGGATTAGAGTGTTTCTTTTTTCTAGATTGTGTTCAGGTACACGTTAAATAATTAACAGCATGATTAACATAGTGGAACGTTTTCGAATAAATACGAATTGTTATTTTCAGGATATTTACCGATCAGTATAGGTAAGTCGCATTATTACGTAATTTTGAATACGCTGCAATTAGTGTTATTGCAAACTGTACACCTAAACAGTTATTAAAATTTATTTAGTATGCTATCTGACGGATGGTTTGTATTCTGATTGAAAATTAAATTTTGCGTGTGTAAATAATGATTTTGTACAACAAAGTTAATGTTGAAATGATTGTTTAAACTTTTAAATTCAAGATTGTAAATTTGTCTCAGAAATTGTAAAAGATGAATTTATAGTTTTCAAATCTGTGTTAAGAACTGCCATCAAGTCGTCACAGTTTCGTCTGATAAATATTTTTCCAACGAGTGCATCGCGAATGCAACGGAAGAGTAAGTGCATCGTTTGCAAATATTTTTATCTCTGGAAGAGCAAACATCGTGAAGTATCCGTTTCGCTCCATCTGTCGTCCCACGATTATCTTGCACACTGTGTAAAGTTGCACACAGGAATCTACATTGTCAACATTTATAGACTTCCACTGGTGATTTCTGTTATTCTAGTGGAAAATAGAATTTAGGTTATGTCTCAATTTCCCATAAAATGTGACCAGGGATCAGATTAGGTTAGGTTACCGTTAAGTCTTAAGTTTTACGATTAATGAAAGACAGACATCAGGTTAGGTTAAGTTTTTATTAGTTTCCTAAGAATCAAGATTTCCACTGATGATTTCAGAGAGGCTAAAAAACTTCTCAGATTATAACGCTTTGCGGAAACTAGGATTTTGTTTAGGTTAGGTTAGGTACAGGCTATATCTGTTTAAGAAATTTATTCAAATTTCAACGACCGATGAAAATTGGAAGGTTAGATTGCGGTTAGGTGAGGTTAATGTAGCAAGAAATTGCAATTGCAGCATGAGCTTGCGACGTGGCCGTCGTTGAAAATCAATATTGACCCCTGGACGAGGAGAAAATAACGATTGGACACGTTTACGTGGTTACCGTGCACACTGGTATTTATTTTCCCGCGCATTCGCATAATATCGACAGCCTGTCCATGTACGTCCTAGGTATTTTCTTTTTATTAAAATTTTCCCCTGCAGTGATTTTTATTTTTCCCTAATGGATATTATATGTTGCACAAAAACAAGAAAACGAGAGCTCTTCAGCCCCCTTTATCAGTGGCATTTGCCTAACAAGAAAAAAGCATAATATCGACAGCCATTAGGCTGGTGTCGATTAATCAGGCACCATTGGTTCCTGGTAGCTGAGTCAAAGCGTTTGCACATGGAACATGTGGATGTGTTTACGGTGGTGTGAATGGTTCTGAGTAATGAAGCATTTTTGCAATAAAAAAATTGTTTATTTTTCGTTGTAAAATCATAAAAGACCATTTTTTTTAATCAATTTTTTTTCCGATGAATACAGTCTCACAAAAGTCATGACTGCAGGTGTCACGTAACATACGTCACGCGATAAGGTACCCTTAAGTCTTGATCCTTGAGGCGATCTCGTCCTCACGCTATGTACAATGAGAACGTCGCATAGGTAGAACTGAAGAATCCAGAGAATTAAGGCCGATTGAGGCGTTCATTAAAATAATGACCGCTAGTTTCTACGTCAGGACGAGTCATTTACGAATAGAACTGCATCCCAGCACAGTGTGTATCGCATTGTGTGTAAGTGGTAGCCGTGATCCAAGGAATGGTTGTGTGTTGATGCAGTGTCTCCTCTTCTTCAGAAGTGACTGGTTGCTTGATCATCTATTAACATTGCGTGTTTCTTAAATGAGACTTTACATCGTCATTGGTAATTGATGCTCTAATGAAGTATACTTGTTTTCTGTTTTAAAGTAGGTGCTAAAGTTCGGTGATTGTTTATTCAGATTAAGTGCAGCGAGGATGTGTTTAGTTTGAAGATGATTACGAAGTTTGTGGGGTGAGAGTTTTGGGACTTGGGGGGAGGTGGAAAGTTTTGCGATGGAGGATGGCACATTAAGGGTGAAATTTGTAGAATTTAATGGTTGGAAGGGTTTCCAAGGGTGAACTGGTTCTTTTGTGTCATTTGCAATATTTGCAACCTGCAATTTCTTCACTTCAGTGTATTTTCGCCTAACTACACCCTCAATAATTCATGAGATTAAAATGAATTTTTATTTTATAAATATATCATCCCTGGGTATCCAATTTGAAATCAATCGTCTTTCGATAAATTAGCTCGTTGACATTTTTCCGTTCCCAACGAGTCGCAATGTTTCGATAAATTCAAACGAGAGGTTCACGGCAGGGAAGGCCAATTTGAATACATTATTCATTAAATGGCTCATTTGTGCCGCGAGTGTATCCAACGTAGCTCGTTTCTATTCGCAATCGTTCCTCGAACATCCAATTTGTATCATTCTTCAGGAGACCCTTCCTGGATTCTTATTTCCAAACGAGACTCGGCACCGATCGAACGGGAAATCGTGTGTCACGTTTGAAAATGGAAATCACTGTTCGAGATAAGCAATGAATTAAGATAAGTGCAAGGAGATAAGCAGTCTGAGAGGAGAAGATAAAGAAAAAAAAGTTAAGGGAAGGGAAAAAGGTATGAGAAAAGAATAGATGATAAGAGAAACAGTGATAAAATTCATCGAAATAGGAAAAGTGAAGGGAGAGACTCTTATTTTAGACCTTTTGGATAATAATAATAAATTAGCTGACAAAAGTGTCCAAAGAATAAGGGTCTAAATTGACTATAAAATATTCAACTGTAAACATAATGAATCTGTTACCATCAATCTGAAGATGGATACTCGGTTGTTGACCCAGTAGGTAAAAAAGATTTCAAGTACACCGAGGGGAAAAATTCAATCATACGATAAACAGATAGCAGACCGTATAAGGTTACATCCGTGTACGCCTATCGGACCAATATCAAGCGGAAGAATGCACCCGATATAACTAGAAGCCTCATAAAACACCTCACAAAGGAAGTCCTGAAACGATAGAGTCGGATGGGGAGAGAGAGAAAACGAGAGGGCATAAAAATAGAGGGAGCGAGAAAGGTGAGGATCGCAGGTAGAGAATGAAAAAGGAAGATAGTAAGGTAGAGAATGAAAGAGGAACAATGAGCTGAAGAGAGAAAGAGAGAAGCTGACAACGCGCAAGTTTCCCGCGCAAATCGCGACCCCCACCCTTACGTTGACGGTGAAATTTCCGGCGAAACCAGATCACCCTGGCCAGTTGAACAAACACGAGGTGTCCGACGACACCAACCGGGTCGTTCGAGTCAGCGTGTCTCTCGTGTACCGTGTTATGTGTCCTTCGTGTGTGAGTGCGTGTTCGTGTACATGAGTGCATGCGAGCGTGAGCATGCATCACGTCACGTGAATCAGGCTTACGCGTTTCCCGTTTCTCTTCATCGTCTGTGGAACACGCGTGACTGCTACGTCCGAACGGTTGATCACTTGGCTACGGGGAACACTCGTGGGCGACACGGTGTACCATCGATTAGCTCACTTCTTCAGGGTAATTGCGTGCTGCCAGATACTTCCTTAACCTTTTTCATATGTAGGTTGTATATTTCCTTATCGATAAGCACTTGCCTACATGCACAGTTTTCAGTATTCCTGATGTAGGTGCCCGGTCCTAGGCTCTAGCGGCTGAGTCTTCGGCAGAGAGGTTGCTGTATGAATTTTGGTGGGATTCTTTCGTATGGCTTGATGAATTAAAAACATTTTAGGTCAAGGTCCTTGAGATTCTCAAGGTAATGCAGTTGTATTCAGGGTTTTCGTCAGAGTTCTGGGGGATCTGTGGTGAACCAGGTGTGCAGTTTACTGTTAGGGTTCCTTCATCTTTTCTTGTGGGAATGTTAACCCCTTAGGAGCTCCCCATCATTTTTCTCGAATGTAGTATTATAGAAATGGACCTCAGGGGGTTAGAAGTGTAAATGCTCTGAAACCTGTGGTAACATTAGGTTCTCATAATTAATCAATGATCGTTGTTTGCTTGCACAATTCTGTGTATTTACTGATAGGTAAATGCGTTTAATTGATACCGTATTTGGTAGGAATTGATGGAGGTTTGTGTACAGGGGCTGAATCAGTATTTAGACCGGATAGGGCAAAAACTTTCCTATTCTGAAAATCAGAAATAATCACTTTATTCCTCAGATCTTAGCTATAAATTTGAGATTCTTATGTCATAAATTTGGATAAAAAGTTAATTCTTTTGATATCAGGTTGATGGCTGAGAGGTGTGCCATTATAAGGGAGGGTACACTCTATTGAGATTAGGGTTCGCAGTTTATCTTTTTTTATACGAGTTGCTGAAGCTCCTGTCTTGTAAACTGGAGGTATACACGTGATATAAGTTATGGTTTAATTAGGAATTACAGTGGTGCTAGGGGAATACTGTTTAGCTATGGTCGTCTTCTGACTCGTATAAGTGGATGAAGTTCCACTTCTTCTTTCCACTTTCTTTGAATTTTTTACGTAATTTTCTTAGCTGAGAAAGCTTTATAAAAGGTGGGCAAGTGTTCCATTGCTCAATTATATTATATTTTTCCAGTAAATTAAGAAGTTCCACTGATAACTTGTTAATGGGTCATCAATTAAGGAAGGAAGACAGATCACACTACTCACTAAAAGATAGTAAAATTACTCTAACAATAGCCTCTTGCCTTAAAAAATTCATTTTGATCCACTTGAAGTGAGATGAAACACAAATACTCAGTAAACCTAATTCAAAGACAACTATGGATCCTAGTATCTCTAGTATCTCCTAGTTATTTTAGATACCTACTTGAATATTATAATTTCAATTGATCGTTCACGAAACGTTTCGTCACAGTTTCCAACCATGGCAACGCAGTTTTCTCAATTGCGTGAGGGAAGGCACGTGGATCGATCGTCGTGTCTTAAAGGCTCGTCTTCAAACGACAGTTTCCCCAGGAAATGACGAGATAATCTAAAAATTTTGTAACGACTTTCTCGGACGAGATTTCTTCCGGTTTAGATAGAAAACGCTGATACGAACTGGTTTCTTCGTTTTTGCCTGATGCCGAGGAAGCGATGGGACGATAAGGAAGGATGGTATAAGCGGTGAAAAAGTCGCTTCTGTCGTGAGAAATCGTGACGGTTGTACTCTGACATTTATGGAGATAACTTTAAGAGTGACAGGTTTTGGATTCACTAAAGATTATGTTGAGGTCATTTCAATTTATTTTTCTTAAAATCCTCTTTCCTTCGAATAGAAATTTCTACGATTGTTTGATACCTGTATCAGAGTACTCTGATACATCGAGATATAAATGGAGGTAAAAGAATTAATTTTCATGATGAATATTCATCAACAGGTCTAGGTTAGGTCACCAATAGAGTATTCTGATGAACGAATGAAAATCGAAAGTTGATCAATTTAAATCTTATTGAATAATACACCGAAAGCTATTCTAAAAAAAGACGATTAACGAAATTATGTAATAATTACGTTGGACGTGTGGTTTTTTCTTTTCAATTTTGTTCGAAATCTTTCCAGAAACCTGTTGGAGAACGGCAAATGTACTTCGCTGAGGCAATTTGCATACTCGTTTTCCTTGAATATCCTTGTTCCTCATTCTCGTACGATAACTCCTCGATTAACTTGAACGTTGCTCATTATCTTCAGTTAATGATACACCTGCCATTGTTTAACTGCGACCGTTTTGCACACGCTTGAATCGATTGTTGTCGAAGACTTTTCTTTTTTTAGAAAATCAACAATTGAGAATTTAATAATAATTTGGTCATTTTTATGGAAGGTACAGAAATTTTTGAAAGATTCAGGAATTCAATGAAAATATTAAATTGCAAAATTTTTGGAATATAATAATGTTTTCTCGACTGCCATTGGGATCCAGGCTGAAATCCCAAATTGAATTTCCCAATAATGGAAATTCGATCAGACTTTCGCGCCCATTTGCCCATTCTTCAGCACCCCCTCGATCCAAACGCAATTCGACGTCTAAAGTAAGGGGCACAAAGAAAAGTTTACGTTTCCTCGTTCAATATTCCGTCTCAGTTTCCTTCCCTCAGCATTTGAAGATGTCATGTTACTACTGAGGATTGGATGTTCTTCTCCTGTTCCCTTTTATCTCCATAGAAAGCGTCGATGCATAAATTATGGGAATTTCAACGTCCATTTTAAAACATCTGTATTATCGTAAATAAAAGGTGAATCTTTTACATTTTCTTTCCTCTTTTAAATCGAGATTCGTTACTTCAAATTTCCTTCATTTTTTGAGGGAAAAATTTCATTTTCTCCATTATATGGAAATGAGTCAATAACAACTGCCAGTTGAAGAATGAAAGTTTGGAGAAATATTTTTAACCCACCGTGAAAAATAATTGTTTAATGAAATAGACATTTGACGACTGGAATGGAACAGTTCAGCAATTCTATCGTGGTATGTTGGACAAAGTGGGACAAGTACCAACTTAACCAAGAGGAAACTAATTAGGCTAGACCCTCGGCTACTTGTTGGCATCGAGTCTCTTTATCTCGGAATTTAGCGACACAGAGATACTAAATTGGAACGTAAGCATTTGCCAACTCTCGGCCACTAAAATTAACAAGGAATCTTTCAAAGTGAACGTTGAAATTTCGATAATCTGCGAAATCTTCTGTTAAATATGTTTATCTATAATAACTTCCTCGACACTTTGAAATTGCAGAATTATTTTCAATCAATTTTGCATATTACACGTCGAGAGAATTTATTTATACTCTATTTCGCAAGAGGTACAGGTACAAATTTGAAAATGTTAGGATAGGTCAGGTTTATTATATAAATCTTCTGAAATAATAATGAAATACTTGATAGAATTTTCTGAACTTGAATGCAAACAATCGAGACACGATTTCAGAAAGGCATTCAGCTAGTTAGAGATTTATCCGGGAGCAAAAGGGGACAAATTGCCTCGTTTCCGTAGCGAACGAAACGAACCTGCCAAACGAGGGCAATTTCAGTGGCAATTTGAAATCCTGATAACGTAACACTTTTGCTACCATGATTTGTCGAAGCGTCGCGACGACTCCGCGTCTTTTCGAGCCAGTGAACGTCCCCTCGAAACGCAATCATTCTAATAGGCTACTCTGATGAGTAAACAAAAATCTAGTTTTATCCTCCGTCCATGTTCATTTAACGTTTCACTTCGCCTCCTCTTGTTTCACCCTGAAGCGTTGGACATTCTTGTTAGGGAAATGAAGTGGTTTCATGGTGATCAAGATTGAGTTACTAAGTTCATAAATATTGTTTATAAAGTTTAAGTGGAGACATCTTTCATTTTTGAAGATGAAGAGGTTTCCAGTTTAGACATGACAGGATGATAGCATAATTAAAATAAAGAACTCATTAAGGTTCCAAGTACTCGATAATTAAATTAGTGACGATGAGTACTCACACCTTCAACATAGTACCCTGAAAGTGTACCAAACCGTATCAAGTGACAACTACCTTCGTAAAAAGTGTGTTCTTGGAGTGCAGAAGACGAAACAGTTCTACTCAAGTGAACTCTAAGTGAATTTACCAATTCCCCATCAATCATCACCAAAGAGGTCAGCTTAGCCTCCGTAAGAAACTTTGAACCACACATGTACTCCGAGTGACTATAGACCTAAAAGTGAGGATTCCAAATCATCATTTGGAAGCTTTCCCAGAGGACCTGGAATGCGTTCAAAGACTGAAGATCGTTTTCAAGAACGACTCGAACCGATCAGCATCGCAGCCTAACGATGTCTGACTCCAGTGGCGGCTTAATGGACTTCTCGGGGTCCGGCAGTGGCCTGAAAAGGTGTGGGGCCGGCATGAGTTCCCCGTCACTTGGCGCTGGAGGCAGCATAGGAAATTCCGGTGGGCTGCCTCGAACTCTATCCGCTTCCGCTCTTCGGCTACGACCGTCCAGGAAGGCTCTGTTCTGGGAACAGTGTTTCGAGTCGCCGCCAAAAAGAGACTTGTAAGTGGACGATGATTGTCAGGGGTGGTTAGGACGTCGAATCGAGGTCGACGATCCGCAGAGTTGGTAATTGCTAACGACTCCTTGGGGTTGGGTGAAAAGATTCTGATGAGGATCCACGATGTTGCCGCGTAGAATACGTGTGGGGTTGATTTAGATGTTTCCCATAGGGATGTTGGATGTATGGATATATAAATGTGTTGGGGTGTTCCTTTTGCGATTTATGAGATTGCTGAGGTGGATGTTGAATTATTCAAAAATGATTAGGAATTAGGCGTGTGTTCGTTGTGGAAAGGAGGAGCTTTGTATAGAAATGTTTATTGAATCGCTGTTAAGTTAATAATCCAAAATCAATTCATTGTTATATCATTATTGATGACCAGTGTTTGACAGAAAGTCTCTTATTGATTTAATACGAACTAAATTTAGATTGAACATTCCCTCATGATAAGGGTATGACGGATTTTCAATTAATCAAATTGTATTTCGTGATAACAATAATGATAAAATTGTTATTACTTGTAAGCTCACAAGGTTGATTAAACTTAATGCAGTTTTGATGGGTTAATTAGATTATAATTGTCGTTGATATTCCAGTGTAGAAGTGTCAAATGATATCTACTCGATGTTTATTCAACTGATAACACTTTGTTGATAACGTTCAATTTCACGGGTCTTGTGACTTTATCAGATTATAATTGATTGCGCCTTGTTGCTGGTCGGATCATCGATGATGAATCGATCTGAATAAATTTGGATTGAAAATCATTTTTGCGCAACATTTAATTTTACCAAGAAATAAAAAAAGAAACAATTAAGTCATTCGATTGAATAACAATTTCACAATTGCAAATGCAAATTAGCAAACATATGGAATAATGTACTGTTATTTAATCAAATTGGATTAATAATTCATAATAGAATTATAATAAATTGCTATGCATTCGAATGTTGTTTTCAACAGCGAAAAACAAGTATCGTTGACTAGAGCAATGAGAAGCAGCTATTTTCATCCTTCATCAATGAAACCGACTATAATCGATCATTTCTAGCTGACGTAAATCCTGTTCGATCTTGACAGAGAATTACAGCCACGCAAATGCAAGCCCACGAAATATTTCGTAATTTGCTGAAACGATGAAAATAATTGGCCCGCGTACAGAGAGGCCATTCACGGATCCCTTTAACATTTATTAGTCACATGTTTATCGGTTTGACGTGCGTACATACGTATCTGCATAACGAATCAGGTGAAACGGCCATCAGAGGGAATAAATTCGTGTTCTGGAGAGAAGCCAGAGGCTCATTTCAACTTTTCCAGTTAATTCTCATCGTTCACGGTTGTTTCAACTCGTTCGGAAATAAATGAATTCGAATAATTCGTACTTTAACGACTGTAACTTCTATTTTGTGACTTTGATTTACATCAAACCATTAATGAACCATGGAGGAAATTAACACTAGTTCGCAAATGGATAATAAAGTAAGACGAATGTGTTAACGACGTTTGATTTCTTTCTTATTTACCTGAATTGGCCACTCCTTGTTCAGTAACTAGCCTAACTACCCTCCTGTGTTAGGCTCAGTTTCCATTAGTAAGGTATGTTAGGGTTAGTATTACATGAGTCATTGATACTAGTATAATACTATATTGCTATGATTGAGTACTTCTACTAATAGCTTTCTTTCATTATATTAGTGTTCAGTTAAGTCTAAGTTAAGTTTGAGTTACTAGCCTAACTACCCTCCTGTGTTAGGCTCGGTTTCCATTAGTAAGGTATGTTAGGGTTAGTATTACATGAGTCATTGATACTAGTATAATACTATATTGCTATGATTGAGTACTTCTACTAATAGCTTTCTTTCATTATAGTAGTGTTCAGTTAAGTCTAAGTTAAGTTTGAGTTACTAGCCTAACTACCCTCCTGTGTTAGGCTCGGTTTCCATTAGCAAGGTATGTTAGGGTTAGTATTACATGAGTCATTGATACTAGTATAATACTATATTGCTATGATTGAGTACTTCTACTAGTAACTTTCTTTCATTATATTAGTGTTCAGTTAAGTCTAAGTTAAGTTTGAGTTACTAGCCTAACTACCCTCCTGTGTTAGGCTCGATTTCCATTAGCAAGGTATGTTAGGGTTAGTATTACATGAGTCAGTGATATTAGTATAATACTATATTGCTATGATTGAGTACTTCTACTAGTAACTTTCTTTCATTATAGTAGTGTTCAGTTAAGTCTAAGTTAAGTTTGAGTTAGGGATTAGAATTGGCCACTCCTTGGGTAATGGCTACCTTCTCTACCCCTTAGCATATTGGAATGGAGAAACAAGGGTAGTGATGAAGTGGAAAACTTTATCAAGGTGCTAGAGAGAGTAGTATAACGTCATAGGTACTCGTCTGGAATAGATTACTAATATAGTAGCATACCACCACAGTGCAGTACTACTGCACTGATACTCCACTAGGCTACTCTGCCAAAGTGTTACACTGCTATGTCAGCACTATACCAGCCATTTGTCCAATCGTTTCTATAACTCCAGTTATCTTAAAGAACGAAACTGTCGAGACCAAAGCTACTTCTTCGATCGCAATATCCATCCAGAAGGAATACTTGTGCCCTCGTCTGGTCGCGTTTACACACAAGGAAACATCAGGAATGATTCCGTTGGCAGCCGTTGGGCCGGTGTTTATCATCCACGGCATTCGTAGCACGCTCCAGTTGACCCAGAAACCGCTGGACCACCCTCGTTTCCATCAATTTTAGATGCGGACCAACGATTCAGCGGGTCGAGTTGAATAAATACAGATAAGCCGAGAGATTCCTCCGCGGATAAAGTCGTCTCTAACGTTCGAAAGTTAAGAAGTTCCTATTGGGTATAGTACACGTTCCTTCATACGTGACGTGATTCCCTTGTCTCCGAAGCTTTATAGAGATGGATATAGACATTTTCTTCCGGATGAATTTTATTCTGCATCAAGGACCTCTCAGAGAATATCCTGTGTAACCTACTTCAATATGAACTCACGATGCTTACTTGTTTGATGTCCTTTGATTGTTGCAAAGGCAATTTTCTCCTGGAATAGGTGTACATTGGGATTTCAGTGACTTTAAAGACTTGGTAAATGGACTTGGTCCTCTTTGAAGACGATGGAGATGGATTTACTTTTCCATGATCCTGTTAGATATTCAGAGCTTGCGAAGTTTCACCTCAGGATGATCTGGGATGAATTGGAGATTGGATCAGGATATAAGATTTTGCCTAAGGAATATGTAAATTAATAATTAATGCATTATTTTATAGATTCAATGATCGATACTTCCTCCTAATTTCTGATGATAAAAAAATCGAAGCATTATCACGTAGAATGAAGTCGATCATCCTGAAGTAATTTGATTGTCAATTAGCCAAGATCAGTCGATTGATACGTGAACATCGATGACACTTTTAGATCGACCACGACCGGATGACCTGACCTATGACCTTCGTAGAATTTCGCTAGAGGGGGATAAAATGATTTACACGCGTGAGAGCCGCGTGATTTAATTAAAGTAAATTCCACGCTCTCTCGATACCGAGTAAATTGGAAACGAAAGCAGAAACGGTGACATGATATTTCTCTGAGGTGGAAAATAAATTTTAGTTTTGTTTGGATCGACGTCTGTTTTAATTAGAATATAATTGGACGAACAAAAATTGCTCGATAATTGAATCAAACAACTTCCTCTTGATAGACTTTTCCTAAATCACTAGCTGCGCTTCTGTTGAAAGGTAGTTTAATTGAAACATTTTCAGTTCGTAGAAAACAGAAAATAAACAATTTGCTTTTATAATTAACGTAGAAAAAGCTCATTAAACTTTGTTATAAATATTGTACTTTTTTAAAAAATCGCAACTACAGTGTAGTTTCTTTTTATTAGGAATTTAATCTTCGAAGGTTGAACTATTCTTCTCTGACGAAGAATTGAAAGAATGGAATGCAGATGACGCAAACAAGCTTTCGTTTATTTTCTCCTGCATCAAGTCTCTTTTCCCTTTCAATCTTTCTGAGAAACGATACCACGCTCGAATTTTGTGATCTAAGAGAAAGTTGCCTTGCAACGGAAAAATGAATGCGGTATATCTCGGACTAGATTTACAATCGACTTCTGGCTCCGCCTTACCAGAAAGCAGCAGCACATTGAACTCTATTTTTTAAACAAATCACTTTTATGGAAATTCGTTCAATAATGTACTGTCAATTAAGTGATGTTCCATGATAGAACCGATGAGACGGAAGATTTCACCTTTCACAATTGCCCATAAAGAAAATGCTTTTCGAGTACTATATTGCACTAAAATTACATCCGAACTGGTGTAAGTTAATTAAGTAATATCTCTAGTTAGTGAAGGACCTCTGGGAGTTAATGAACCCATTAACCCCTGATCGAACCGACTGGACGGAAAACACTAACCGATGAGACAGGAAATTAATGTAAACAGGATGTTGCGTAATTGCTGGTACAAAATTGAGATGCTACTCCATTTGGAATTTATATTGAATCAGAAAAGTTTATCATATAGTACAGTGACACGACACCCTGCATAGACGAGACGAAGACTTGCAAGCGACTGAACCGACTAGACGGGACGAGTTGCGACCCTAAAAGGGGTCGTAAAGTGACTTCTAGGGGATCTGAGGGTTATTTTTAGTTGCAATTATTCTTATAAATAATTTTTATTCTAATATAGATACATTGCAATACTCCACTACTATTTACAACATTGATTTTTGATAAATAAAGAACATTTTTCTATCTTTTTTGTTTAGTTTATTAACTATCAACAGGTAATTGCTAGTATATTCTTAAATTATTTAATTAAATATTATAAAGGGTGTACAGTTTGCAAGAAGATAATTCCATGCCTGCATGTCGGTAGAGCGCAGCTTAAAGGCACGAAGCAAACGTCAAATTGATTGCCACTTGATCATTCATATCCCAATTATCCCTAGATTTCCCACGTGTTTAGGGCAAATTCTGATTGTGTATTTCCTTTTTGCAGCCATGGCGAGGACCTCATCGTCACGCCCTTCGCGCAGATCCTTGCCTCCTTACGGTCGGTCAGGAACAACTTCCTGTCCCTTACAAATGTGCCCACGAACAAGTGAGTAGAACAGCCCGATATTTGTATAAATTATGCAAGTAACTAAAGTTGCAGTGTATTTTTGTGAATTTCTCTTTAGATCACGAAGGAGTAGCGGTGCCCAAGGTAGCAGCACACCGCAACCGCGGATTGTGGCGCCAGGAGGTAAAGATTCGCCAGGAGAAAAGATTAATCCATTCGATTCCATCCTGTTTTTGTGTGGGGATGATTTAATTTGGTGTCCCTCTCATTTTTCAGAGGAGAATTACATGAAACTGGCCGTCGAGACGATGGAAGAGCTGGATTGGTGCCTGGACCAGCTGGAAACCATTCAGACTCATCGGTCCGTGTCCGACATGGCCTCCCTCAAGGTAAGTCCACCTTTAATTTCGTCTTTTGTTTACGAATTTCATTCGTTTCTTTCGTCGATATAGATTCTGACGCGTTACGTGATTTATAGACGCTAAATTTATTTGTCGCAAAGGCAGGAATCTACCTTACCGATGATTTAGTGCCTCGAGTATTCCTTTATCGCAGAAAGCTGTAGCTTCGTTTCAAAGCTCGTGAATTTCTTCTGTTTCACTCGAGTTCTTTGTGTCGAACTTTCTCACAACACAGCTTTCCAAGGCAAGGGAACATTATCGAGCGCAATTATTCGCGCGGCAGTTGATTGATATCGTCGCGCTGAGAACTAGAAACTCGACTGAGAATTACAACTGTAATTTTCTATGAACATCGAGCTTCTGTCGGATCGTTTTATTTCTTTCAACCAATGAAATGTTCTCGTTCCATGAAACGACGTTATATCAAAGAATAGACGTTCCAACAAATTGGAGGCTTAAATGGCTTTCTTTTAAATTTAATGAATTTGACTTCTACATAACTCTTACTAATGAAAATGAAGCTTAATTTATAATGAGATTTGTTAACAAAACGACTCGCAAAAGTGGCCTTGACCTGAAAATTCGAGGTCAAATTTTTCTTAATTGCATCGCGTAGAGGAAAATTCCCTCAACTCTGATTATACTCTATTGCTATAATCCGTTACATCCACAAACTACGGTAAATATAGCAGAATTGAGCCTCGGTGCACTTCTTACAGAGCATCATTAATGGCGTTCAGTTGTCAAGAAGCAAGAGATTACGTCCCCTTCTGTTCTCCTCCTACCTCGCGAGATACGGGAAAATCGTCACCGCGCTAATGAGTATAAAAACGAAAGAACGAGAAAAAAAAGTTAAACAAGCGATTCAGTACGTTTATCGCATTGGGAATTCGCGAGAGTATGTACGTTGATGACAAAAACACTAGGAAATACCGGTTTGCACCATTGCATAACGGACTGCATTTGAATCGCACTGCTGCCAGGTATTTCTCGCCAATCCCGACAACTTACCGTGTATCGCACTTAGATTTTCCGATTGCTCATTCGACTGTACAGGTTTATTAGATTTCTCGTTAATGCTGTTCAAATGTCACGGGTATTAGTGTATGGCACAAGGAAGTCGATCAGCAGCCTCGATCGTCCTCCCCGATGAATCTAATTAATTTTATTGCGCCCGCTTCAGGCTGGGTTCTTGGAAAATGAAAGCAAAAGAATATTGACCGAGCAGCCTCGACTTAATTCCTAGAAAATTACATTTTTGACCATGTTTTCCCGGAGGAAATTCGCGTATATTCGCATGTCACGTAGCCGGGTCAAGGCAGTGCGTCGACGAAGCTTCGATTCCGTTCGTGTCTCCTTCATTTTCTGCTTTTATAGCTCGAACCGAAGGGTTAGGACTTTTCAAACGTAAACTAACATCGTTCAAGGTAACCACGGATCTTCCGACCCAATAGAGTCGGATTAAATTTGCAATGGACGACACTTTGATTCGCAGCCATGCAATTGCGCGTACTCCCGTTTGTTTACGTCGGTTTTACGACTTGTTTTCGACCGACCGTTCGGCCTCGAGGGGAACAGAAACTTTCAAGCCCGAAGCTTCCGAGTGTCGACTTTGACCCGTGGGTCCGGTATTACGTTCGAGAGAACCGTGTTGCATAATCGGGCTCGTTTCACGGCCAAGGCGATCGCTGGCGCGCAGATGGCGCTGACTGTGCCATTCGCGGTGCATTCTGGGTAATGATGGCGCAGTACTAGCTTGTTGCGCCTATGTCAACAAGACGGTGCATCGAAATAGAGAGAAATGCTTCCAGCATTCGGTCTGCCGCATAGTGGATGCGGATACACATATGTTGCACATCCTTGATTCGGAACATCGATTCATAACTTGGAAAACATAGTCTGGTACTCGACTTGTTTACCATACGTCAATCGTTATTGAAAGCTCAAGGAAAGTCGTGGCAAACTTTGAGAACATTATTTATCCCTGGATGTATAGATCAACGTCATTTACACTCCCGAAAATAACAAAGTCGACCGGGGTTACATAAATATTTTTGTTTTCTACAGGATAGATAGTTTTGTTGATTCATAGCTTATCGTTAAGTCCTGCGAACTTAAGTTATTAAATGTTTTAAAGCTAGCTTGCCTATTTGAAGATACTTAGAAGAAACGACGGGATATCTGAAAACGATAGTCTAAGGAGCTTATAACGTAATAATAGACATTTGATGAGCTTCAGCAGAGTTGCCTTGGAAATCGCGAAATGTCACCACGGTAAGGTCTTATTCGTTATTTTATCACCGTTTCAAAGTCGCCAAACGAACGAATCCTTGGCTGCCGGCAAATGTTAGAGTTCGTCATTTGCCAGGTAAAAGTGTGTAAGTACGAGTCCCTCGCGTGACTCAAGGGCCGCCCTTGTCTGCCTCGGCTATATCTTTTTTTCTCTTCGTTGAAAATCGATCGTTCGAACGAATTGACCTACATCGGAGGACCTGCGACCTCACGATTAGGCGAGTTGATATGCAGGTCGGCGTACACGTGGACGAACTATGAATATCGTTACGAGGAGCAGGTGGCTGGATCTTGATCCGTTCAACTTTGCTCCTCTTCTCGTAGTTTACTGAAAGCTGGCTTGATTACTGCTAGATTGCTACTAGATTTGGATTAGGTATACTTTTAATTGCTACGTAATATGTTTCAATGTATATCACGTGTAAGTTATGTTCTTATTAACCTTTACTACATGCCTGATTGCTCGGATTATCCACTGTCCGATTAATACAACGTCCTTACTACTCGACAACTAATTTAACCACTTAATACAAGGAACTTTTTTAATTTACTTCTGTTATGCCATCGTTGTTTAGTGATTTTGTAGGTTAACTTAATTTCAAACTTAACCTAAACCTAACATAATCTAGACCGAAATTTAACCTAACTAAACCTAAATTTAATCTAATCTAAACGAAGCAAATCTCAATATTTTCCATATCAGAGTAAATCAAAATGACATTTTATCAATTTACAATCTGTGGCCAGATTTTCAAGATTTAAGCGATTAAAAATCGACTGTTCGACTTCCGGAATGCTGATAAAACCAACCACGTGTATATACGTTTTTCGTCGGTGTCCTTCAGCCGCATAAATCAATCGTCCACGCTACAGGGAGTAAATATGTCCGGCCATCGAATTGGCAGCCAGCCAGCTTTCGCAGCCACTGAACATTTTTCTGTGATTAATTTTGTCCGCGTTTTAGAAGGATCCTGACAAACTATCCGCGGTTTTTCTGAATTCTTTTCGTCTGTTTGCGAGACGACAGTCGACGCGGAAGAATTTAAGGACGCCTCGCGTCTGAGGTTTTGAAGTCATTTTTGAAAACTGTATAAAAACTGACAGGTTTGCATCAATTCGTCTGCCACCAGAGAGTTTTATTAAAAAATTGTTTTCATTCTTCCAGTCTGGAACAATGTTTTTTAATTCTATTTATAGAACAGTTGAATTGATCAATTATTCTTTTATCATTTCTCAATAAACTAAACAACCACTTGACCTCATTAGATTCATCTTACCTAGAATTCTTTAAATCAAAGACTCACGAAATAATTTCCAGCTACAGTTCGATTTCCATGTAAAACGATCGGGTTAAATAGATTAGATGGAATCTATTCCCCCAGAAGAGGGGAACGAGATAAACAAAAGCGTTCGCCGAATTTTGTCTAAGAATATGTGAGATTGGCGTCTGTTTGAGAGGCGCCAGTCGTCGCGATGCTTTGTGTACCATTATTTTCATTGTTTAGTTTCTCTTTCATTCTATCTACCTATCAAATTTCCGCCCCCAGACTTTCTGTTGTTTTAATACATCGATACGGTGCTTCGGTTGAGATTGCCCAGTTATGAATACCTGAAACACTCAGAAGTATTCTCTGAACAATTACGATAAAATCAGAGATAATTACAAGTTGAGTGCAAAAGTTTGTACAAAATGATTGAAGAGAATGATTTAATTCTAGGTAAATTTGAGCAATCGAATTTAATTTCTCGCAACAGGAAGTCATGATTGATACGAACAGCTGAAATAAATTGCAACAAATGTGTACTTTTGCCAGATACTCGAATAATGAGTAAGTTCTAAGTTTGGCCTATCTAGTAATCCTGAGCAACGAGTGGTTCCAATAAAATTTTAATATATACCATAAATATATGATACTTGTTTAGGGAACCATCACAAAATTCATCCCTGTTTAAGTTATGTAATGAGCATCTTTAAACCCTGTGGTAGGCAGCTCTTCGTGAATCAATTACATGCATCGACGAATAGCGGTGGCATTCATAAAAATGTATACTCAATGTTACATAAACCAATATTTCCGTGAACGACGTAATGTTGTATTAAATCTAAAGTTTGGCCACCACGTCATTAACTTCTACAGGTTTTCACGTGTTCCAATTTTAGTCACGTTCTTGATGATGACGTTCGAGTGATGTAACTTTTTCAACAAAAATTGATGAGCTACCATTAAACAGAGTTAAGTAACGATTTCGGGGATAACAGATCGATTGGCGCAGTAGAAAGAGACGTGTGCAGTCAGACATCTAAAGACACTAATTATCTTAACCATTGGTTAGTTTTCAAATTTTAAATTTGTTGTCTTACATTATTAGCTTTATGCTAATGACGTCCGAGGTACATGTGTTTTTTCTTCTCCTTTCCTAACAATTTGAGGCGCCAGTCACCGATAACCAACGTGACTGTCGATGTATCAATATTTGTACAATTCTTAAAATTTAATGTCGTCTTTGTTTTAAAAATTCTAGTTGGCGCCATGTTTTTCTAATACTAAATGTGCAGTTTAAAAAAAATCTTGTACAAAATTATAATCCATAAATGTTCAAGAAATTTGACCTCATTGAAATTTGAAAAATTCTTAAATTTTTGAGAAACTACGTCAAATTTCACCTCTTTCATTGTCATGTTCTCCTGATACCAA